GAAGAGCTGCACCCAAGAAGCAAAGGAAGCTGAAGTTAAAACACAAACCACACCTCCGGCCCCCCCAGGTGACAAAGATAAAACCTTTCCTGGTCTAATCTCTCCACTCTAGCAACAAGCAAGCTGAAGTGAGGAGCAATTGGGCAGGAAAGAGAAAGCAGAACTGAGGACCATCCCTGCCTGCCCAGTTCCCTCACTCCCCTCTCTCCCAGCCTGTCCAGCTCCTGTCCACCCTGAGCTGGCCCAGAGGTGCAGGGGGGTGGGGGGCGGGTGGATTTGCAGCTCCACTTTTACTCTCTCACATATTGGACCGGCAGAAAAGTCCATTACGCTTTTTCCATATGATGGTTCTAGTAGTGCATAGTTTAACTTCTGTTTTCAAACTTCTATTTACTTTTTAATTTAATCTTTATTGTATTTTTGCCATTCCATTTAGTCCCTGTATACCCTTTCCCCTCAGCAATCACCACACTGTTGTCTTCAACTTCATTCAAAACAGTTTTGTTAGATTCTATTGTGACAGCTGTCATATCAACATGCATTTAAAATAAAATGTATCAAAACTGGTGAGTTTTTGTGCAGCCATTTTAACAGTGAAGACTGAAGAAAATATGCAACATTTTCTGCATATTATGCTTTATTATATTTCAAGAAAGGTAAAAATGCAACTGAAACACAAAAGATTTGTGCAGTGTATGGACAAGGTGCTGTGACTGAGAAAATGTCAAAAATGGCCTGAGAAATTTCTTGGTACTATTGATATTTTGGCCAAATAATTCTTTGCTGTGGGGCTGACTTATGCATTGAGAGATATTTACTAGCACCCCTCGCCTCTACCCACTAGAAGTCAATAGTGGAAGATAGCTGACACACTCAAAATATCCAAATCAATAAAGTTATTGGTGAAAATAAAAAATATGTTTTTATTTTATGGAAAAAATGTCATGGACTTTTTGGCCAATGCAATACTTCCCTGAGCACCTTAAACCTCTCTTCTTTCTTCTCTCAAAATAGCTCTTAGAAAGAGTTTGATAAAACGCATTTGTAGTATGGTAGAGAAGATACTGTTGATCATCTATACTATAGATAATTAATGGGCTTTAATGTACTATCCCTTCCAGGGATATTCTTACCCTTAAGCCAAATTACTTAGTGGGGCATTTCAGGCATCAGTGATTCATGAATGGGAAATAGCTATGAGTACAGGGTATGCTCTGGATTCTAAAATCATATCATATGAATGGCTACCTACTTGTATATGCAAAAACACAGTAGTTAACTCCTCTAACTGCACTTAAAACACACATAAAAATCTCACTGTTAAGTAAGCTGTGTTCCTTCACTCCCCTGCAGAAAAGCAAACAACCTTGATTTCAACCAAGTTTCACTTGATTTGAGTGAAAACTTGCACTTGTATGCGATGATCAAGGCGTAGACAGTCTAGCCCACTAATCCACGGCATGCTGGGTAGCTCTAGCCTCTAAGCTTTGTGGTTTAAGTAGTATGAAGTCAGATCTTTGAGCTTAGCTCAGAAACATGGTGATATCACTCAACATAAAAATATTCATCCATTTCATTCCCTTATTAATTCACGTTCAACATTTTATTTGGCCTAAAGTCCAGTGCAGCCTCTTTGGATCTGAAGCCCTGCCCTGCGTCAGCCTTGTATTCCCAGACCCCTGGTTTGAAACAGAGACCATGTGAGGTGCATTCAGTTCTTGTCCTGCTGATTAATTCATAAAGTGGACAACTTCCTGACTTTCATCCCTGAGAATAATTAACTTCAAGGGTTGGAAGGAGAAGGAACTCAAACTGAAAATATATGCAAAGCAGCATGTAGATCAGAAGAACCAGCAGATTAAGTAAACCTACAGGACCTCTCTTGCATCCTCCCCTACCCTTGTCTGGAAGCCACTTTCTTGCAGCCTGGCTTTCTGTATCTGTCAAAACCCCAAGCTTAAATCTATTGGCTAAGTAATTAGACTCTGGGTTTTGGGGTCAGGAAGTTAGGTGGGGGGGGGGGGCAGGTGGAGTTTCTCTGTGGCTGTCTGAGCAACTGCAGAATTGTTTGATCTTTGCAGGCTCTGAAAATGATAACTAGCTTCAGAGGGCCTTTTTGGTAGGTGGCAGGCCATGTGGGGAGACGTTTTACCTGTCTTTGAAGAATGTGACACTGGGTCAGCTATCTGACATTTAAAGGGGTGGCTCCAAAGGGAACCGAGCACCACAGGCCAGATACATATCTGCTGCAAAGACGGGTGATGGAAGGAGTGCAAGCCTTCATCACGCTAGCTCCTCCCCAGGCTCTGGCAATAGAAACTAAATTCTATTAGTTTGTTCTGGTGACCTGGCTTTAAACCATCCAAGAGCCTTCAAAAACACTCATTGTCAAAAGCAAGAGACTGTAGGGCTTCAGGAGAAATCTGTGGACAGATGCTGGAATGACATCGCTGAATGTCAAGGTGGACCAAGAGAAATCTTTACCTCTCGAACTACCCACTCTAGCAGGGGAAGCATATGCAGGAGAAACCCATTTTGTGAGACTCATCAAAAACATAGATTGAGTCAAATCTCTTCCTAAGAAAGTAAGAATAGATGCTCCCCTTCCCTAAAACCCAATGCTAAACTGATAGGCACTCTCTCCTCCACGTTACACAAGAAGCCCAGGATTAAAGCATAAACAAATACAGGGGTCTTTTGTATTTCCGTGTTTCAGGAGATTTTGGTGATGTCTCAGAGCCATAGAGTCAGCATGCAAATGGGTACTTCTGAGAAAAGGACATACAGGGAAACAGGAAACCACCCCCAGCACTCCCAGGAGGAAGAGCTGGAGAAAGGCGGGGCGCAGGACTGCAAGAGTGCGTGGGATGAGAACCACGTCCCTGGATTCTTAGGGAGCGTTCTTTAGGACAGTGAAGCAGGGGAGCAGGGGAGTGCTCCTTCCAACCCCTTCTCAGCGTGGCACTTCTAGGGCCACAGAGGGAAAACTTACTCCTCTAGAAACTGAAGGGATGGGACAGCATAGTTTTACATGGGCCTGGGTGATAGAAGCAGGATTTGAATAAAGAATTGCAACCTGAGGATTAAGTTCCAAACCAGCTCTGTTCAATAGAAGTACAATGTGAGCCACATATATGTTTGAATTTTCTAGTAGTCACACTAAAAAAGTTATGAAGAAATAAGTGAAATACTTTTATTAATATATTTTAGTGCAATATATCCAAATATTACCATTTCCAGGCAATCAAGATAAGTAATATTTGAGATATTTTACAGTAATTTTAATGTTGAATTCATTTACATTAAAAATTTGGTTCCTCGGCTGCAGTAACTATATACATTTCAAATGCTCAGTAGCATGTGGGAACCAGGCTACCATGGCACAGGCCTAGAACATGGGCCCTCCAATCATGGAAACTTTAAGCACTTTAAATTTGAATCCAGACAGCTGAGTTATACAAACACATGTGTTTCAAATGATCATGAGAGTCTATTCTCTGTTGTAAAATGTCCCAGCGTATGCTTAAACAACCACGTGTGTGGGGTTGTCGTGTTCTTGGTGAAGAGATTGTATCCTTCAGGGGATTGAAAGAACGGGGGAAGCGTCAGAAATTGTAGTTGTTGTCTTTATCAGTTAGGATAGACTAGGTTTTACTTCGATATGAAAGCACAATTTGCAAATTGGTGGAATCAGGGGCTCCTCATCATTTTCTGCCTTTCTCTACATTTCTGGTACTGTCTTCAAGTCTTGACAGATAAAGATAGATGTGAGTTTCATGAGAGCAGAGACCACAAATCCCTTGTTTAATGAACATTTCCCTCTGTAGACAAAAATGAAGCAAGAAACCTACGATGAACTGGATTGTATCCTCTCCAACCCCCACCCTGGATTCATATTTTGAAGCCATAACCCCATGTGGCTGTGTTCAGAGACAGAGCCTTTAAGGAGATATTTTGGGCCAAACAAAATCACGAGGGGTGGGCCCTAATGCTTTGGAACTGATGTTCCTGTAGGAGAAAGCGAACTCTCTGCACACGCACAGAGGAAAGGCCATGGTTAAGTCTCTGGCATTCTGTTACGATAGCCCAGACTGGCTAATCCAGAAACTGCCCCCAAATTCTCTCCTCTCGTCATACAGAATGTCTTGCTGGGACAAAATGAACAAATATTTCCTGAGTTCAATGACACCTGAATTCAATGAATTCAATTTGTAGTTGGCACTATTTTGAATGCTGAAGGGGACATGGAACAGGACAAGATACTGCCTTCAAGAGATGGACATATAAAAATCATCCCAGTAAAAACAAATAATTGCAAGATTCCAGAAATAATGAATTCTGACAAAGTTGAGAAACTCCCGTAGAGGAGGAAGCAATGATTTTGTGGGGCTTCTCCCCTCACCTCCCCCGTCCACAGTTATCCTTTACTTTGACTTATTTACATGTCATATACACACATACTCCTTCTCAGTGAAGTCAACATTATGAGTATTTCCTAGATACCCGCAACATCCCAACTTTGTACTTTTATGCCCACTTTGCAGAGGAGAAGAGAGACTTCAGAGAACTTGCCTAAGGATTAGCTTATGTGATGGAGCTGATATTTGAACCCAGATTGACTTGATCCCCCTCCCCCCAAAAAAAGTATACTGCCCTGTAAAGTAAAAGATGCTGCTGCTGAATAGCTCAGACGAGTCTTTCTCTACAAGCAGTTAACTGGTGGACTTGACCTTTCATTTTATCTTTAGGATAATTTATTTATTTCCTTAAATTTAGATGTCCTTGTTTCTCTACGTCAGGGATCAGTGTGTGCTTGTTTTCCACTGACGTATCCTGAGTGCCTTTATCAGTGCCTGGCGCATGGCGGGAGCTTAATAAATATTTGTTGAATGATTAATTGCTTTTAGTTCTTTAAACAGATGTAAAATGTAGGTTTTGGAACAACTAGTACGTACTTGTTCAACTGATCCCTCTACTTGACTGAAATGCAGAGACATAGGCTATTCGAAGATGGGGACTGGTGAGGATGTTTTTTCAATCTGAAGCAGTTTCTTGAACTTGTGAAATCTGAGAGTTTATAGAAATTTGAGGAGATAACCAACTGGCGCCTGGAAAAGTCAGCTTGGAGAGAAGGATATGTCCACAGGGCCGTTCACAGAGAAGACGGCTGAGGCACGGGGAGGCAGAGGTGAGGGAAAGAGTGTCAGTAAGACTGGAAGGAGTAAAAGTCTAGCAGACTTCCTGTTACTGGGAGGCAGGTAAGTCCCAACCTGAACTGTTATGCCTTCATTCATCCTCAGTACTTGTTCTAGATCAGTCATTTCTGCTGTCTAACATTCTTTTATTTACGCCTTTGTTGACACTTTTTTCTTTCATCTGGATACACCTTCTCTATATGCCTCCCTCCTTCAAATCCAAATTCTGTGAAACTCTCCCCGACCTCAGCTCCTGCTGACCCACCTCCCTCTGAGTTTCCGCTGCTTCAGAGGAAACCGGTGGTCTCTGCTTTCCTGGTTGCATGTGCCTCCAGCAGAGCGTTTTCCAGCACGTCTCCCAGTACTGGTAAATACTGGAACCAATATTTACTGGTTCTTTACAATATGTACACATAACTGCTGCAAAACATTGTATAGAAATAAGAGAAATTTAAAAGCATGAGATAAAAATGAAATAATTTTTTAAAATATGAAACTAATTGTGATGTCTTCATGTTATTATTAGCTTATATCTCAAGAGGAAATATTCGCTTAGTGACATCGTTCCTTGTTAACAACAGTGGATGTAAATCTACATTTTAAATGTGTTTTCTTTTTCAGTAACTTGGAAATTTTTTTGAGACCCTGACAGGTCTGAAGAATTCATGCTCTCATTCACCTGGTATGGAAGCTGTTGGGGAGGTTTTTCTAGGAAAGGTAACCATGTCAGCCCTGCCGTTTTCTCATAGGACATTTTCATGGTTTCTGTCCAATTTTGGAAGCTATGTTAAACATATTAGTCTATAGAAGTCATACTGGTCTTTACTAACTAATTGACACATCAGTGCATGTGAGAACAGATAAATCCCATTGTCACAATTATTGAAAACTAGGTCAGCCACTACCTACTCTTTCTCTTTCTAAAGATTCCTCTCTTTCCTCAGGACGCAGATTTGAGCACAGATTCCAGGTGAAGACACCAGAGTGGCCCCTCCCTTCGGGGTGCAGGCACGCCCTACCAGAGACCCTGCTCCTGCCTCTACTTCAGAGCACTTATTGCTTAGTGGCTTGAATTGGTCTGTTTCCTGAGCATCTCCTCACTTACTCCAATTGTTAATAACCTGCAAAAGACAAGGTGGCCGTGTATTCTGTCTCTGCTGAAGGACTGATAATGTGCACAGGCTCTTCCCTCCTTTATTCCTGTCATCTGTTTCCTGAAGTTTGAATCAAGGGGAAACCAGGGTCCAAAGGTTCCCTGAGTGGCCAGCACTGCTAGCGTGACATATACAAACCAACCAGTTTGTCCAGTGGGGTCCCTACACCAACATCCATTGTTTCTCTCTGAATTTTCTGATTTACATTCTTTTTCCAGCAAGAATACTCCCCCTTAAAAGCCCTGAAAATTTCTCACTTTATTGTTTTAAATTAGAATGTTCTATTCTTGCACTCTGTCAGTCTCCCCTCTTCCCTTCTTCTCCCAGTTCCTTCTGCGGTAACAGAATATCTCACCTGATGAATTTTTTTAAAAAAATTACATTTTGTTTAACTTTCTTCCCCAAGAGAGCTACTCAGAAATAGCACGTACTGTGAGGTCTGTTTGTAGGTGATGTTTCCAGCCCTGCATCTCAGCACTGGCCCCTGGCCGAGGGTCTCACACCTGCTGTGGTGACTGAGGGCAGACTCACCTGGGCCCTTTATGGCTACAGTAAGGTCACAGATAATGACTGCCAGGGGTTGAAAGACCCCTCACCCTGGTGACACAGGCCCTTGTCCAGGGTCTTTTTATTCATAATGGCAGATAAGTCACTTCACGGGTCTGTATATTTCAACGAGGATAAAAATCCTACCGACCTCATAAACTTTTGAGGCATGTTGAGAAATGGTAGAGTGAATATATTTTAGAAAATATAAGGTATGCATTTATATACAAGTAAACATTCAATGTATACAAGCAAACACTTGTCCAAATCCAGAAAATGGACACCACCCAGAGTGAACTCGAACAGAAACCGGGATGTGTAAATGCAGGTTCACCAGTTCTAGCAAACGGGCCAGCCAGGTGGGGAACGCTGGCGATGGGGGAGACTATGCACGTGTGAAGGAAGGGGGTATGTGTGAAATCTCTGCACCTTCTCAGTTTTGTTCTGAACCTAAAACTGCTCTAAAAATAAAGTCTATTTTTAAAAACTATAAGGTGTAATACAAACGTAGGGTGTCATAACGAATTTCCTATCTTTTGCAAATAGTCTCCATTCTTCTGCTCTTATAACCCTGGACAGGAGGCGGTGCTTAAGGCTCTCCCCAGGAAGAGGTGAGATGCATGGGAATTGTTTCTTTTAAATCAGTGTTCAGGCAGTGATTTAATGCACAGAAATAGTGTTGGCTCAGGGTGGCATTTTAGACTGGATTGAAGATGATATGGGGAGGGTTGGGGTGAGAACTCCTTGAATCTTTGTTTTCTTCTTTATCCTTCAGGTACTAGCCCATTCTTCAACAGTTTTTGTGTGCTCACTTACTTACACAGCATATTAGCAGTTTGGGCTAAGGAAATATACTATACCATTCCATATATATTCACATGATTAATTCTTTATTCATTAGCTAATTCAGCAGCATTTATTAAATATTTATGTTCTAGACTATTTAAGGTGCTAGGGAGAAAAATGCCCACCTATAAGAAAAATTCTCTGTCTTCAAGGAGCCCCAGTCCAGGCCTTTTGCAGCCCTTCAAAACTGAATGAGCATGCCCAATAGGTTTCCCCTGAATACTCAACTCCTGCAGAAGTCAGGTTACCAGGCTGTACGTCTCAGCTGTGGTCTGTGTTGTAGCGTGTATGAAGGAGTTACATTTATTGAGATATACTGGGAAATACAACCTCTTATGAATTGTCCCAGTTCTTACTTTTCTTCTTTCATGGTACCCACATCGACCTTGCTAAGAACCGTCACAAACACATGAATGCTGCATCGCTAAGTTGGAGGCAACACGCATGTAGACGAGCTGAAGACAGGCAGTGTCTTTCGAGGGTGAGATTAGGAAGTGAGGTGGGGGGCTTTGCTTGAGGATCTCTGACTTGTGTTTCTGAGCAGGAAATAACTTACACCCAACAGAGTTCCATCTTATAAAACATGGCACTACCGCTTTTAAAGGACTTATTCTAGTCTTGAAACACCCAACGACAGGAGCAGGACAGTTGTTATGCTTGTTTTACCATGGGAAAATTGAGGCCTAGGTGAAGTAAATGATTGTCCATTGTCTGACACTCCAGAGCTATAGAGTTAAGACAAAAATTCTCCCATGGAAACTATTTTGTGATAACACTTTGCTTCTCGTCACTTGTTGCCTGCATTTCATGCTATGTCATTCCATGTCACCTCAGGTCATGCTAGGTCATTTCTTCTTCCTTTTTTTTTTTTTTTTGCCATTCTCTTATTTTGTTTTTGATTCACAAGCATTCATAGAGTGCAAGGCAGGGTCTAAATGGTGGAGAGATGGACAAGGTATGTACCTTGAGTTCAAAGAACTTGCCATCTATTGCTTATGCTACTACTGATACTCCCAACTCCTACTTGCATTCAGCAAAGGCACCTACCCTTGTTGGCACCATAGGGCTCTTCACAGTGTGGGTAACCCAGGCTCTGCCAGCAGTCACAACAGTGAGTTGCCAGCGGCAACGGGGCCAGCAGTGATGAGCAGTGTCCAGAAGTGATGCATCAGCAAAGCACCATGGATAGCATGCCTTGCTGAGCCTGGTTCTCATCTTTTATGTCAGTTCTCTCCTGTGCCCAATATTCTTCTACAAATTTATTTTTCTTCTTTAAGTTAACATTACTTTCTGTTAAGGGTAACCAAGAACCTTGATATATTTTCTCAAGAAATTACATATATAGTAATATGCAAATGTACTTTCATATATGTGTATATAGAAATATATATATTTAAAGAAGTTATATTCCAAAGAAAGATTCTAGTACAAATATTTAAAGCCCAGGTGTCCATGGTCATTCATACACAGAATGCCATTCATGGGTCACCGTTACATGCTGCTGCCCCTAGTCCTAAGCACTGTCCTCCTTGCCCTCTGTCCCTACCTGATCTCAGGATTTCCCATCCCCCACTTAGTAAAGACTCAGTTTGCAGAGTCATAGTGGGGAGACAAATGCTACTGAAAGCAGCAATTGATATCCTGTGAGCTTATGCCCCTCTTTTTGCAGCCAATCCAGCTCTAAAACCTAGGCTCTGGGAAGGGATGCCTTATGTCTCTTACAGATACATCTGGCTAGAGCAGGCCCATTTTGCAAAAGGAGTACCAGGGACATTGTGAATGGGGGAGACCTTGTGGTTGGTCTAGGAAAAAATTTTGACAAGCATATGATGAGGTAGAAATGTAGCACAAACCAGAGTGCATTGTCCATATCAGAAAATGGTCCCAGACATGAAGTAACTAAATTCTGGAATTTTCTATAAACTCTAGTGTTGTCCAGTGATCTCTATGGTTTTGGGATAGGCACCACTGGTGTCATGTCCCACATGTGGCCTGTTCACACACCCAGAACTTGGGGCAAAATTGATTTTAACTGAAGTTCCTACAGGATGATCCTGTTATGCCATCTGTACCAAAAGGGGTTCTCACTCAGGGCTACATGGTAGACACATCAAGGGAACTTTTCTAAATACTGATGCCCAGACACAGAGATGCTGACATAATTGGTCTCAGCAGGGTGAATGGGTGGTGGGGGGGGGGTCTTTTTTGTTGTTGTTAAGATTCCTTAGGGGATTCTAATGTGAGGCCAGTTTGGGAACCATTATAAAGAGAACAAAAACATTAACAACAACAGTTGATTCAGTCAAAGTTTAAGGCAAGGAAAGAAAAAGGGGAGACCTTAAAGTTGGTATTAAAAATTTAGACCAACCCTTAAAAATGATGTCTTTGTAAATCACGACTCTCACAGCAAGGTCCAATAGCTAAACTCATTGGCTTCCTGAACTCTTCAGGTAAGGAAAGTCTTTGCTTTCTTGTACTTCCAAAAATGCTGTGCTCAGAGAGCCACTTAGGTGACATTAATACTTTGAACTTTCTCATGTATTTATTTCTTTGCTTCTAGTGTTGTTTTCCATACTCAGCTGCTTGCTCCTCATCGGCTTCACCTGCAGGTGGACAGACAATATAGGGCAACTACGTTCAAACCAAGTAGCTTTGGGAAGCCCCCAACATCTTCAGATGTGTTGAATTTGGAGCTATGGTCCTTTTTCCTCAAGGACCACACCATAAGAGCAATGCCTGCATGCACATGGAGACAGTTCTTGATTCCTTTTTCTTATTTTTACATTTTTATTGCAGGGGGGAGGATATGAGAACTCTGGATGAATGCCCACAGCCCCACGGTTTGCCTAGATGCATGAGCACACACACGAACACTTCGAAAGCTTGTGAACTCCCATCAAGAGCAAACTATTTAAAAATTGTAATGCTCTCCATTGACACCTCCAGCTGAAGAGCAATTTGATAGCATAATTACAACGTACTGCATAATGTGAAAAAGCTTTTGTTCTCATCGTGATTATCTTCGGAGAGCTCTTTTCCCTCCCCCTTCGCATATTGACTGACTTAAGAATATTCGACCCTTAAAAGCTGCTTTTTCTTCACAGAATAAAAAGGATGCTTTAAGATAAAAAGGGATGGGTGGGAGAGAAATTTTGGTACATGATTCACCTCTTTATTGTGGTGAAGGTAATTTCTGGCTGTTCTCAAGAACTCTCTCCCTAGATTTTATTGGGCTAGGGGAAAAGGCCCCGTGAAAGAGAATTAGAGGCATTGAACGCCCCAGAACGTGGTAGGTTGACTGGTTCGTTCATGCCCTTCGGCAAGTTGCAGAGCTCCCCCAGGCCCCGCTTTGCTACTTTTAATTTTTTTTAATTTTTATTATTTAATTTTATTTTGGTTATTGTTCAAGTACAGTTTTCTGTCCTTTACTCCCATCCCAGCCCACCCCCCAGCCCTCCCCACCTTCCTCCCATTCCACCCCCCCTAGTTTTTGTCCGTGTGTCCTTTATATTTGTTCCTGTAAAAGTTCCCATTTTGCTACTCTTTAAAATGCGGGAACTAGGCCAGATGACCCTTGAAATGAACTTTTAAATTGCAGAATTCTTTCACCTGGGAATACAATATGGGAGGGAGCTAAGAAAATGATTAGAAACCGAATTTCTGATCAACTTTTTGTAGACCTTGAGAAAATGAAAAATTCTGGTTCACTTTGGGTTTAGTGTTTTAACAGTCAGGATAAAGAATTTTAAAATGGTAATGTTTCCAAGTCCCCCAGAAATGCTGCTGATCTTTTTACTAAACAAAAGCATCTGATTTTACTATCTGGCCAAAACCGATAACCCTTCAAAGAGAAAGAAAAGTCAAGGCTTCAAAATATACTGGCAGGCAGGAGGTACCGGTACTGAGACTTGTTTAACACGAATGAAACAGAAGAACACCTGAAGCTTCCCTTTTTCCTGCTAACCGCTGGATTCTGAAGGAGTTATTTTGTTTTTCCTTAGCTATGCCTAGCATACTGTACTTTCATAACTCTAAATACTATACTTTCCTCTTTGTTTCTTGTTCTCTAAAACCATGGACTTCTTAAATGTTCTTTCTCTATCAAATTTCCTGGCCAGGCCTTGCTCAGGGCTTTCTTGCTCACCCCCCTCTGCTGTTCATCCTCACCCACCAATTTCCCCAACACACAATTTTAAAGTGTCCTTGTCCTTGAAGACAGTAGCTGAAATGTGAAGGATGGCCCTCCTTGAGCCATTCTGACCCCATCCATGTACAGTTACCCTAACGTAATGGGACTTTTTATGGGCTTCCCGCATCCTTTACAATGTAATCTCTGCTCCTCCTCTCTCCCTGCATAACCTGATCAGCTGAGGGCAGACACAACTGTCGTTTCTTACCTTCCCACGGAAGCGTATTCAGACGGAGTTCTAACACGGAGGTGTGTTTAGTGCATGCTGCTGATTAAAATAACTAAAGAGACACATTCCCTTCCCCAAATTACTGTTGACAATTTTGAAATGTCAGTCCCAAGTCACAGGTTTGCAAGAAAAGGAGACTCTCTCTAGCCTGGGAGA